GTTATGTAAGAAGCACATTTGTCAGCAGGAAGACGAAAGATTTCTACCCAAGGGCCATCACGAAGAAAATCACGGAAAGAGTTCCAGTCAGCTTTAAGGTAGTTGTATGTGGTACGATGATAGGGGGATTCTGATGAAGTAGAAGAATTTGATAATAGTTTTAGAGAGATCAAACCGTGATCAGAAGTACCTAAGGGTGAATGTGGAGAAATTGAGCACTGACTAGGATCCAAAACAAGACATAAGTCGAGTAGAGAAGGTAAATGATTAGGGTTGTCTGGAAAACGAGTTTGAAAGTTGACTATTTGAGTTAGAGATTGAGAAAGGCAAAAGTTGAGGGCCTTAACGCCAGCAGAGTCACTGACACTAGAGCCAAGCCAATCGGTGTGATGGGCATTAAAGTCACCAACAACGACGATATTGGCCGATGGATAAAGAGAGAGGGCTTGGTCAATTTGATCAGAAATAACATCAAGAATAGTGCAATCTTGGGATGAAGGAGAGCGATATAGAACAAAGAGAAAGGCGATAGAGTGAAGTTGTGCTAAACGAAAGAACATAAATGAATAGCCTGTAGATTCAAACCTAGTTTCACGACAAATGGGTGAGTTCTTACGAATGTAGATGCCCAGGCCAAGCATGTGATTATTGGAGTCTTTACGAATTAAAGGAAGATAACCATCAACACTAAGATCACAAGATGGGACAGCCGAACTCAAATTAGTCTCACAAAGAGCAAGTAGGTCTGGTGAACTTTGCAAGAGACAAGACTCAACAGAAGAAAAGTTACTTCGAAGACCACGAATATTAGTAAATGATAGGTTTAGAGAACTTGGTGATGACGATGGTTTTTTGTGTTTTTTAGTTTTAGGTACTTTAGTCATTTTAAATTTATAAAGAACTTGACTCAAGTATAGATAGTACTCAGTACACTATTTAACAACTAAGCAATAGCCTCATTACTATTAATAAACCCTAAGCCGTAACAAAGGGCTCCAAATGTGGCCTCTGCAATGCACACCAAAAGTACAAACAGGGACACCATCCATGCGCAACATGGCACTGTTAGTACTCTGATATTTTTCGGCTGTTGATGGAATCAGCCTCTCTGAGAGCTACCACAGAGTTCGGGAAACCTGACTACCAGCCGGCCTCAGAACCATAAAACTGAGTTTTAGAGCTGTACCCTCATTAGGAGATAATAGAATGAGTTGCCCAGTCATAAAAATAGAGACACAAGCAATACCCACGCATTGAGTCAAGAAGATCCAGCGTTCAACATCCTAAACTGGAAACAATGTATTAAAAATACATCTGCGCCAGCCTAATAGGTGAGGAAGGGGTGCGAGGCTGGTCAACAGATAGAATCTGTTTACCCCTTAAGTCTTTGCCTAGGAGGCCTTCTACAAGACAGCAGCTGGATGCATGTAACATCTGCCCAAGATGAGTATTTTTATCGAGACACCATCTCTAGCCTTTACTCAACCAAGAGCCCCAAGGCAGGGGGTGTTTTAATTCGGAGTTAACTTCTCCTAGCCTTTGCCTAAAAAAGCGTATCCTACAAGGCAGCAGGACATGGAGCAGGTTGTACTGGGTTACATGTTACCAGTAGCAGGAAAACCTGACCTGACCTTAAATACACCTTTGAAATACTTTCAAAATGTTAAATTAGTTTAAAAATTGTTTAAACAACAATTATTAGTTGTATTAAATTTGGTGTTTGAAAAAAATTATATTCCCCTATAATTTCTTTAAACAATCTTAACATAATCTTTTATTTATCACAATTTGTTTATTTATTTTATTTTTTATGTGTTACGTCAAAAGAACTTTTCATGATATTGAATTAATAAGAAACAGAAAATATATTAGTGAAAAGAATTCTCTTAAACACAAGCACCTCTCCAATTTTATAATAAAAAAAGTTTTTAAATTCCTTTTACCTAAAATAATTTATGAGACTTACATTTTACATTCTGAATTAGTTTGCAGACGATTAGAAAAAAGCTTTAATAAAAATGGCAAAACTATTTTACATTTGTATAAAACTAAATATTTCTTCAACATTTTACTATTATGCTATTCCTTCAAAACTTAATTTAAATTTTTAAAATCATATTTCATTTAAAATCTATTTAAGTTGAAATATTTTTTTATAAAACAATTTGTTTCTTTAAAAAATGTTTAGTTGCGGTTTGTTTATTATTTTTTTATTAATCTATTATTTTTATTTTTATTATTATATTTTATTAATAATTATATTATTATTGTTTTTTATTTTACAAATTCTGAATAAATGTCACACAGCAATATTAAAAGATAATTTAAATATTCCAAAAGAAAAAAGTTTTTGTCTAAGCAGCTAAGCAAAATTATGTTCGACAGTTCTTATAGTTGACGATTTCTATAGTTTACAGTTTTATATGATGGAGTGCATCAGGTTGTCTGAAATATATACTGTGATAAAGAGTACCGCCAAGGTAAATTATTGTGAGTTTTAACAACTCCCGATAGTCATCTCTAGGCTGATTCATGTAAAGTTAATACTGACAAAATGAAATAATTTCATCACAATCAGTAGCATCATCCATGACTTCAAAATGGGTATGATTAACATACTTCCAGTTTTTTTTGAAGCTCTTGAACAATGAAATGCCTGGACTAGTGGATGACCTGTCATAAGCAGCAAAAATATTTTCTGCAATGATTTCCATTATATGATTACAGCAAGCAAAGTTTGAAAGATTGTGTTTTAATTCAGTTAAAGTACAGGCACCCAAACATTGCTGCTGGTGGTATCAAATGACATGGTTTATATGCAATCTTTAATGCACAAGCCTTCAAAACAATCCAGCACAGCCTTCACCATATCTTTACCTGTTTCTGATGGAAATTTCGGGGCACCAAGAAGTTTGGTAATACCTACCCCTGATATAATTTTAGGCAATCTGTCGACTTTATCAGTTCCTGTCAACTCTGGTAGAATTTTTCCATACCAGTCAACCATTAGTTGAATATCCCACCATCAAGCCCCTTCTACCCTTCTTCTTTCTATGTGCCAATAAAAATGCATGATCTTCAATTGTTTTTGTTTTTTTTCATTTCAAGAGCATTTAGCTTTGTCGAAAAGGGTATCAAATTTGTCTTTTTTCTTTCTTTTTCAATCTGGGAGTAGGATCTATGAAAGCTACTTATTTGAAAAGACTGTCATTTTAAATATTTGTTCTCCATTTTTAGAAATACATTTTAATCTGCATTTTTGGAATTTTGGCCATTTCCCAATGTTCCACAATTTTTTTTAAAGCCAATTTCAAGGCTTCTTTTGTAGATATTTTCTTGCATAATATGTAAAAATCTTCGGAATACATCATCTTTCAAAAGAAGCTTTATTTCATAAATCTTTAAAATTAGATGTCTTATAAGATATATTTCAGTTTCTCTGCGAGTCTTTATATATGGCGGACTAGTAGATGTGGTTATTCTTGTTCACTAACTGTATATTCTGTGTAATAGAAAGTATGAATTAAATACTATTTAATTAACTTGATAGCCTATTTATTTTAAAATTGCTTTTGTAATTGGTATAACAAATTTGATTTAGAATAAACAATAGATACAAACAAAAAATAAATATTTTAAAAACATTTTAAATAAATGATATAAATGTTACACATACTTAGATCTTCAGTGCACACTAGACTGCTGAAGAATCTGCCAGAATAAATTAAGCTTCAACTGCACTATCAAAATATTTTTATAATATTTAATAATCTAATAATTTTAATAATATCACAATTATTTCATTAAAATAAATATTTTTAAGCAGTGTGAATTTATGCAATTATTAAATACACAGGCCAACAAAAAAAAATTATTTCTGGTGTCGAGCAAACAATTAGTTTTTTTTTATAGAATTTCTCATTTTGATTTTAAATATGCAACTAATTTTTCACTATCATGTCAAGTTGTAAAGATATTTGGGTTCAAATCTTTAGTATTTGGGGTAAAGTCCCTTATATTGTCAAAAAAAAAAGTTATTCAAAAGTATGTCAACCTGGGTCTCAAAAGAAGCGTATTTTCATAGAAATTTTTAAAATTGGAATTATTTGGAAATTTAAGTTTGAATTATTTGAAAAATTAGTAGAGGATTATGCCATAAATGTAAATGTTACATGACAACTACTAAAAATATTTCTGATGAATTCATAAGAGTGCCAACAAAATGGTTAAAAAACAAAGTTGCAATGCAAGAATGTATTTTTATGTGTGACAATTTTTAAGTGTGATGATCAGCAGATTTGATGAATTTATTAAATAGCAAACATGGAAGTTCAGATGACTATTTAGTTACAGTGTATGTGTGCTGGTATAGATATTAACTAAGATACAGTAAAAGAGGTTGTTGTTGTATGATGAAAATTTTACTGTTAGTAAAGTATTGGAAAGAATAGCCTGCAATATTGCTTATATTGAATCATTGCTATATTTTATCTGTATCTTATCTTATATTGTGATCCACACAGATAGACTTTATGGACATCATTAGGCAATCAAAGTGCTCATCACTTGGACCTCCTTTTGAAGTTCTCCTAAATAATTCCAAGTCAATATTTTAAATAAATCCTCTGGATGGTGGTAAAGCTGACAATATTATGGGGAGATTGATGACAACAGTTAGGGAGTTTTGATCAAAATAGGTAACTCTTTCTCAATATCTTAAAGATATTGATCATCAAAAAGGCTGTAACTCTTTCTCAATATCTTAAAGATATTGAGAAAGAGTTACAGCCTTTTTGATGCAGTTGCTATGCAAGAAGAGTACTTACTAACTGAAAGTATCATAATTATGTATAGGTTTATTATATATTTAAAGTGAATTAAAAAAAATTGACTAGATATAAATAATATTTATTATAAATTATATTTATTTATAAATTAATATTTTATTACCACTTTTAGATATATATTTTTTGCTAATATTAGTTTTTTGTTTGTTTTAGATTTCAATAATAAAAGATGTTGATGATGCTTTCCTTGAAAGACTAATAAATTCATTGCCCCAAGAAACAACTGTAGAAGGAGCTGTTAATTTGTATTTAGTTTTTTAATTTTTATTTGTCAATTTTTATTTAATTTTTGAAAATTTTTTAAATTACAGTTATTATTATTTTTTATTAATTAGTTTTAACCAAAAATAAGTTCAAAAAAAAAAAAAAAAAAAAAAGAAAATTCCAATTTTTTAAATTTATTTCCACCATCACATTTTTTTTTCACTTACAAATCAAATTACAAGCTAGTTATTGTTTTGTCATTTCTTTTTAAAAAAATTCGAAAACTCTAAACATAGCAAATTATTTGTTCAAAACTTAAATTTTCGATTATTAAATCTTATATTTTTGGTTATTCATAATGAAAGTACTCATACTGGTCATGTGACCTAGTATTTAAAAGTACCCATACTGTTCATGTGACCTACTATTTGAAAGTACCCATGCTGGTCATGTGAGATGCACATCTATTATTTCTATTACTCAGCCCTTTTATATGTAGCAGTCACTTTAACATTGTAACAGCATTATCACTATTTTATTTCAGGTTTAAGACTTTTAACTTCATAGAATATTAGTTTACAATAAAATATGAAAAAAAAAGTTGATTATTATCTTAAATTTTATACAGATAGTTTTACATTTGAAACATCTTTATACAGAAAATTTTAATGTATTTTAAATAACTTAATTATAAGTAAACTTTAAAGAATGAAAGAAATGTTAGCAACTTTTGCATATTATTGTAGTTCCAATATTAGTCATTAATAGTTATTAATATTACAACTGCATATTAAAACTATTTTTTTTGATATGTCCATATTTATGTTATATAAAGATGTTTTCCCAAAAATTGCGCAGATCAGAGTCTGGGAACAAAAATACCCTAAAAAGTAACTACCCAAATGCAAAAGTTGGTTTTTCCAAAGAAAAATTTACTTTCATTAATAAGATTTAAATTTGCATATATATATATTTGAAATTTGATCAAAAAATCATCTGATATTTAAATGTTATAAGTATTTAAAATTTACAACTTTCAAAAGTAGGGTGCTGTAAATTTAAATTAGGTATAATTTCTAAACAATATATTATTTTTCAATAAAATTTTAGAACCTTAAGATGTTTCCACCTAGTTTAGGATATTAGACTTTATATTTTCAAAAATCAATTTCCTTCACAATTGGGCAATGTTGCCTACTTTTTGAGTCATTTTTAGTTCCCAGGCTCTAAACAGCACAATTTTTTGAGAAAACATTTTTATATAACTTAAAGGGATCCCCAGTTGTTGTTGTGTTCATATTAAAGAAAATGTTAAAAAAAACATTTGGGCTAAATTTTATTGATTAAAACTATATAATGAATGCACACCATTAAATTTAAAATTCATGTTTTAGTCAATGCTCGCCGTCTCCATTTTTTTTGGTTCTCGGAGTCTGTATAATGTTAGCCGCAATCTGCAGACTTGATAATTTATTTCATGCGTGTTTAATTTATAACAGTTTCGGTTTACGGTGTAATTAAAAATTAAATTTATAAAATTTATAAAAATAAAAATTTAATATATAACAAATATTTACAGTAAAGCATACTTAACAAAATATTAAACTAATTATAAACTAGATATTAAAAGGATAATTTTACAAAAGCGTTTAAATTAATTTTAAGTATAAACTGAATCAAAAACAAGTGATTTGAATAAAACATAAACAGAACCAGGTTTGTGGAGCCGACTGTTTTTTGACGGCTCGACTCCAGCTCCGGCTCCTAAGAAATACCCGGCTTTGGCTCCTTAACTTTATTAACAAAAATGGCAAGTTTTAAATTTTTTTTTTTAATCACATTGGCCAACCCAAAACTGTACCAATTACAGCAATTAATTTTTAACCAACTCTCATGATTACAAGGTTATTACTACTACTACAGGATATTACATTTAAAAAGAAATTTTTTTTTGTTAAATAAACACTTTTTTCTATATATTATTTACCCAAAACTAAAGTTTTTGTTTCAAATTTTAGTTTTAATTCTACCCAGGGGACACAGTACTTAAAAAAGATGTCTTTTGAATGTCCCAAAGACGCCCAAAATGTTCTTTTAAACATTCTTATGCCCCCACTGAGTTCCTTACGGGACCTAAAAAAGACGTGTTCTTAATGTTCAAAAGACGTTTGAAACGTTTAAAAGACGTTGAAAACACTCCAAAGATGTTTAAAAGACCTTTTTCGTATGTCCCATGCCCACTAGGTAAAGCATGCGATCGTTAAATTAAAAAACGATAAAAATTCAAAAAAAAAATGAAAAATAGTTTAACTAATGCAAAAACTACAAAAAATATTTATTTTAATCTAAGGAACTTGAAGATTATAAAAGTGCTTTTTACTTTAATATTTTTATTATTTTAAATAAATAAGCAAACATTTATGCTTATTAACGACACCAACTTCTCAATGGGACGGAATTGTGTGCAAATTGATGGATTCAATCTTTTTGGTATGAATTTGATGTCACTCTTCTTAGAATAATGACAAGAAGCAAGATTAGGCCAGAACCAACAAGGGACAATGTGACTAATAAAATTACAAAAGTCTAGCTTGCAAGTATTCTTTGATATAAACATTCAAGTTTAAAATTGACGATGTGACAAAAGCTCGAGATTTCAAACCGCAGCTGCATATTGCTTGCCAAATTTTATTCTTTAAAAAACTCTGAAACTTTATATCCTTTGGCTCGCACTCTGTTTGATAAGCCGGGGTTTGCGTGAATGATCGTCGAATACTAATTGCGGTTTTCTTAATCTTAAAGCTACTCTTTCACCCAGATCCTTTTGCTTGTTTGATAGATAGAGAGCTCTTGTATTGTTTTATGACAATACAAACAGTAGTTTTGCTAGATTCAGATGCCTTAGCAATTAAAATTAAGGATGTAGAAGGACTTTGTAAATAGTTGGGCAGGATTTTTTTTTCGTTTTTCTAAATGTTTCAATGACATTTTAATTAAGAGCAACATTTTGATTCGTTTTTTGATGTTTTTAATTAATATCATAATTACTTTATTTAATTACACAAAAAGAATAATTTAATAATGTGTTAGTGACAAGTTTTAAACGAAATTTATCATTCCAAATTAAACTATCGTATGCTTTAGTTTAATTTTAAAGATATCAATAACCTTTGATCATTAAATCGCGCATTAAATATTTAACAGCATAGTATCAGTATAAAAATATAATATAAAGCAATATGTGCATCACTGTAATGTTTCCATTTATAATTTACTTTTTTTTAATAAAGAATATTAAGAAATTTTATTAAAGGATAGTATTTTGTTGAGCATAAAATCGTTAAAATATTTATTTTTATTAAGTTTTGGCATAACCGTAACTGTTAGAAAAAAATATTTTCAAAAGTATAGAAGTTCAATAAATAATTCATTCAACAAATTAGTTTAACAATAAATGAATAAAGTTTGTCTACAGTAAAAAAATAAACATACATTCTATTTTGTTAAAAAAAACACAAGAGGCGAGAGCCGCTCAATTTTTGCGGCTCCGGCTCCACCAAAAAACAGCGGCTCCCAAGCTCCGGCTCGGCTCTACAAGCTTGAACAGAACTAAGTAGAAAATAAATATTAAGCGAATTATTTAACTAATAACTGTTCAAATCAAACTAAATTAAAGTTAAAATAAATTTATATACAAAAAATAGTTATAATATAAATATAAAAACAAAGAATCGCATTAACATAATCGCTACCAGAATAAAAAGAAATTTTTTTTTACAAAATACATTGTTAATTACTTAACTAAATACTTAATACTTCTAAAAGTTTTACATTGTTAAAACTGTTTTTTTTATAATTAAACTTAAAGAAGTTTTTTTTATGAAGGATTATTCAAAATTTTTCAACTTTATGATAACTTTTTTATAATTGCATAATATAGCTCTTAATTTTCCTTGATTTTGTAGAGAATTGAACCTTTAGAACAAACAAATTCTATGTGTCTGGAATGAAAACTTATGTACAAAACAAGATAAATTGTAAAGCATAATCGAAAGCCGCTACCAGAGGTTTGCGGTAATGAAAAAGTTAAACCATAACATAATGTAAATTAAACACAACAAACAACTCTATTAAACCATATAAACTAAATATAAAACGAGAAATTGCATCATGCTGCCTTTATTTTTTCTTTGCGTGCAAACTCTAATAATCACAAAATATGTATAATTGTGTCATGATTTTGGCTGGCTTCTAAAAAGTAATAATAAAGCAAGTAAAAAAAAAAAATTATAAATATAAAAATATATATACATTTGTATAATTTTTTACTAAATCACAAATATTTTTTGTGATCAAATAAAAAATTATACAAATATTTGATTTTCTGATTGTAGTAGAAAAAATACTAAAATCTTTAAAAAAACAACAACAACAAAAACGCTAATCTTAAAAAGATATTTGATGACATCATATACTGAAACTATTATGAATTAACACGCATGGAATAAATAATCAAGTCTGCAGATTGCGGCTAACATTATACAGACCCTAAGAATCAAAAAAAATGGAAAAGGCGAGCTTCGACTAAAACAATAATTTTAATTTTGTTGGCATGCATTCATTATTTAGTTTTAATCAAAAAAAAATTTGGCCGAAATTTTTTTTAAAATATTTTCTTTAATATGAACACAACTTGTCTCGGCAGTTGGGGATCCCTTTAAGTATGGACATACCAAAAAGGTTAGAGTTTAGAACCTACCTGAAAGTTATGTAACTCAAATATGAAAAAATTCTGAATTGGCCCCTGAATAGTCACATATATAACACTGTTTTTATTGCGAAAAGATTTCCATACTACTTTATGGGCAAATATAAACTTATAACTCTTATTTTTTTTCTTTTTAAAATTATGGGTTTTGCCAAATTTTTTGACGTTATACCACTGTGCGATTGCTCGAAATCCATGTCACTCAGTTCATCCTTTAATTATAGAAAGAATAGCTAACTTATCACTTAAAATTGTTTTCTTATAGCAAGTTCTTTGACAATCTTTATGACGGTGCATGCCACTGTGCATAGCTCTGATTAGATCTCATTCCTCTTTCTTCACTAATACCAATATCTTAAGGATTTAATCTGTAAATTTTTATCAAAATTTCCAACCATGTTTAACTCAGAGATTTTACCATGGAAGTGATGCAAAAGTAATATCTTTTATTACTATAATAGCCAATTCTCTGATTATTAAAAGCTTTTAAGGCATTCTGGTCTCTGGTTTTCTGGTCTCATAAGCTCTCTTCAGTGTATTAGAAACAACTTTTAAAATCTTTGTTCCTTCAATGGTAGTTTTATAGTACTTGGGCAATATCTTTTTTTCGTTTTTAGTAACCTCTATTTTTTTTTACTAATTGAAAATTAATATGTAAGCCAGCATGTTTCAAATAAAAAATGTAAAAATTTTTTTTATATATATATATTTAGTATTCTTCATCATCTTCTTGATATAAAAATTTATCCCAAGTGTGACAAAATTAAACCACAGAAACAATTAACAAACTTATTACAGGTTTGTTTTTATATTTTAGTAGATGATTTTTATTGCTTAATGTTAGTCCTTGATTATTACTCATTAACATTTATTATCTTTTTTATTGTTTTTAATATTACAAAGTTTTTCTTTAATACACTAAGTTTTATTTACTTGGTTAAAACTTATAGATGCATTTCAAACTTATAGATGCAATCTTTTGTTATTTTAAAGTTATAAGAAAAAGTTAATATAGTTGCATAGTCTTTTGATTTGAAGTTAATTTAAAAAAAAATATTCCTTAAAGTTGCATTGTTTTTTGGTTAAAGTTATATTAAAAAAATATTCCTTATATTTTTTAATATAAATCTTGTTTCATTTAAAGGTTAATGTGATGATAATACTGTTTTTATAATATTTTCAATTTAAGGATATATTCATTTAATGTAACTTAAACTTTCCATTCAAAATACATATACCATGGTATAATTATTTGTATGTAATTACCCACTTATGGTGGATAAGCTCTGTATATGATGTTATACTGAAACTGATATGAATTAAATATGCATGAAATAAGTTAAGGGATCCCTTAAAGATTTTCCATCAAAGCATCTCTTATTATACACTCCATTACTTTGCATACAACAGACATTAATGAAACAAGTCAATATTTTATTAATTTAAGTTTGTCTCTTTTTTGAATAAAGGAATAATATTAGCACACAATTTTCCGAATTGAAATTTGTGTGATAATATTATTCCTTTATTGAATGAAATTGTGATACTATTAGAACATTCCATCAAAGCTCTCAGGTACCCTTTGTACTCTGCAGTAGACTTGGTAACAATTTCATTTATGGGTTTACCATTGGTCTAGCAATTAGTTTTTAAAAATTGGTATTTTGTTGTTTTCCTTTTAAAAATCTAAATGAAAAAAGTTATTTAGTGAATTTTTATTATCTGATACATTTGCTAATATTGATCTATCTTCCTTTTCAAGTGCAAATATCTACTGGTTAACAATGTAATGACAAAGTTTGCAATTAATGGATGCAGATTTATGCAAAAAGCTATTATATTACTCAATTAGTTAAGCATTAAATGGTCACAGATTTCACTTTTTTTTTATGACTTTGTTAATTTCTTTATATTCCCTTAATAGCATATTGACACAAAGTTTTGAATTCCTGCAATTGATCCACAATTATATTTTCATGTTTATCAATGATGAATATTTAGCTAATTTTTTATTCAGGTGCTTTTTTGATTTTATTCAATCTGCAAAGATTACATTCATTTTATTCAATCTGCAAAGATCACATTCATTTTATTCAATCTGCAAAGATTACATTCATTTTATTCAATCTGCAAAGATTACATTCATTTTATTCAATCTGCAAAAATTACATTCATTTTATTCAATCTGCAAAGATTACATTCATTTTATTCAATCTGAAAAGATTACATTCATTTTATTCAATCTGCAAAGATTACATTCATTTTATTCAATCTGCAAAGATCACATTTATTTTATTCAATCTGCAAAGATTACATTCATTTTATTCAATCTGCAAAGATTACATTCATTTTATTCAATCTGCAAAGATCACATTCATTTTATTCAATCTGCAAAGATTACATTCATTTTATTCAATCTGCAAAGATTGTCATTTCAAAATGCTGTAACCATTTAATGTAACACTGGGTTTTCCCAGTCAATTTTATCACCACACTGGGTTTTCCCAGTCAATTTTATCAAATTAATTGTTCATATTAATGTAGTTTTCTTTATGATACATTTTTTGTATATGATTTACAATTTTATTTGAAAGGGTAATGTTATAGCAGAAGTTAAGAATATGATGCTTATTTAATTTATTTTGTAGTGGCTAATGACAATTGGAGTGTCTTTTTGCCATTACAAGATATAAAATTTATTTTCAAGATAAAATGTTTGCTTAATTATATTTTAGAACATATAGAATTTATCTAAGCCATCTAAAATTTTTGTTTTCCAGTTACTTTCCCAACACAATTTTTCTAATCAGTTTGAAAAAAGTTAAATTTCTTGGCATAAGAAAATTCCACATACTTTTTTATTCAATATCATACTGTCAGATACTTTAATTGATCTCATTATACTTTTTTTTTGTCAGTAACTCCTGTACGGTACACGGCTGTTTCAAA